CTATATTTGGGACTCATCAGCAGTGCACATCCACTACCGATTATTGAAACCCTGACAGTTAGGTTGTCAAGCAAACATCATACCAACTGTTCCAACGGGCCTCGGTGACGAAGAGATTGCAAATCAGACTCAAAAAAGCGCCGCTTGCTCATATATTCCGTGGTGGAACTCTACTGAATTTCTCTCTAAGCATAGAGATAAATTCTATCATGTGTATATCATTGCTTGAACCGGCTTCTAATGCTCTAGAGTGAGCGGCTTGGTGATAGTAGTCGTGGCTCCAGGGGGCACAGTCCTATTACTTAAATATAATTATCAAATCCTCCTAATAATTTCTATCATATATATATATATATATATATATATATATATATATATATATATATATGTGTGTGTGTGTGTGTGTGTGTGTGTGTGTTGATATAAAATATAAAAAGTTAAAATTTACAATAAGGTGCGGACTGAAAATTGACAGTTGCAAAATTTAAATATTGATATTTATGAACTACTGTTAAATAGTGTGGGAAAATTATATATATATAATTCTAAAAGTGTATTATATATATATATATATATATATATATATATATATATATATATATATATTATAAATTAATTGATTTAAAATATGTTTTTTTCGCTACACAGTTCCAACCATTTTTCAAAAATAGAAGCTAAAAACCCTGAATTTAATTTTGCAATTAAATTAAAAGCATTAGTTCCATTTCAAATTTACATTGAGCACTATTTTGTAAAAATAAAAATATCTATAAGAACACCGGATTTTATATCTTACTGTTGTTTTTTTTTATATATATATATATATATATATATATATATATATATATATATATATATTAATCTCATACTCCGCACTACGTTTTATCCCAATATATATATATATATATATATATATATATATATGTGTGTGTGTGTGTGTGTGTGTGTGTGTGTGTGTGTGTGTGTGTGAGTGTGTGTGTCAGTCACAGACAGACTGTTTCGCTGTATCATGGCTCAAGCCATTTTCGTAAGCCAATCGATTTGGCATCAGTCAGAGATTTTCCCCCTGAGCTATCAGCTCCCGGCAGAGAAGAAGGTGAATTTTGACGTATTTATTTTAGAATAAACACGCCAATGACACAGAGTGCTAAATTCATAGAAGAGCTTTTGCATCAGCAGTAGCGATCACTGTTTACAAATTCGTGCTTTTCCCTCTCAAGTGTTCAACCGTTTTTTTTTTTATCGTGGGCGTATATATGACATTGACTAAATCCAGCAAATAGTCTAATATATTTATTGTTTATTTTTATAGATACAATTTAAAAATCATTTTTATTTTTATAGATACAATTTAAAATAATTGCCGGACTTAGTCCATGTCATAATGTACATATACGGTGGCACGGTGGAGCAGTGGATAGCGGCTTGGATTGAGGAATCGCAGAGCCGAGTTCGAATTCCAGTCGAATCCATTACATTCACTTACGTGCTAATACCCTTGGGAAAGGTATGTATCCTCTTCATCTCCCTCCAGCTATGGGTAAAATAGCAGGACAGACTGGGTTCTATAGCCTTGGATGGCAACTGGTCTAGGAGAAGGACAACTCTGAATTCAAAACCTGCGGAGGGTCGTTTGGGAACCTTGTGGCATGCATTCGGTGCACCAGGTTTCTGTATTCGTCCCTCTAAAAAGTGTGGCTGGTCCTGCACGAGGCCTTCACCACTATAAACAAATCTCATGTGCCGGTGTCGGGATGTCGGTTTCCTGGGGACTTATCGGCCTGACCCTCATACGTCGAACGCGACGGGAGAGTCGATTATATAGATAGATAGATAGATAGATTATGTCATGGACAAAATCCGGCAATTATTTTATTATATTTATTGTTTATATGTTATTTTGTTTGTTTCTTTGTTTTTACTGATACTTGAAAGAAACTTTATATACTTCGTCAATTCCCATGGGTTGGTGTCTGCGTGAGACACTGCCAAACTTCTCTCTAGGTGTTTCTCTCTGAAGTCTTTCACTTCAGAAACCCCCATCTTGCGTCTTAGTGGCATTGTCGTCTTGCTTGGAGGGTGAAATGATAAAAAAAACATGAAGAGAAGATTTGGAACAACAGAGATGTACATTTACGAATTTTTTTTGCGAATGCCATAGACAGGACATGTGATCAATGAGTAAGTTTTAATGATAATGGCAGCAAGAAGTACAGAATTAGACAGTTGAAATTACTAAGAAACAACGAAGAAATAAGGCTGGTAAAATTTGACACATGACATATTGAAATCGAGAGGGACAAAGGGAAATTACGATACATGACAAGCATTTATAAATAAGCATCATAAGAGGGAGTAGGAGGAATATTGGAAAAACAATGAATAGGAAGTTGTGGAGAGCCATGATCGCCCACGTTCTGAAGGTACACGGTGCACAAAATAAATAAACTTCAACTATCATACATACCCGTAGGAAGCTGTGGCTAGACATGATCGCCCTCGTTTTGAGGGGACGCGCTGCACAGAAGAAATAAACTGCAGTAATCATGCATAAACGTCGAAAGTTGTGGACAGCAATGGCCGTCCTCTCTCTGATGAGGCACGATGCACAGAAGAAATAAAATGCCACAATCATACATACCCGTAGGAAGCTGTGGATAGCCATGATCGCCATCGTTCTGAAGGGACGCGTTGAATAGAAGAAATAGACTGCAACAATTGAATGCATCCTGAAAGAGATTCTGCTTCGAAGCCCGACGACCGCGTAGGAAATTGATGTTGAAATTAAAACAGAAAAAGAGCTGTTAAATTTTTGCGTAAGCGGACACGGATGAAATTTCAATGTTTTCCGGTTGGATAAAACAAAAATCAAACTATTTCTTTTGTCATCTAAAGTGCTTTCGTGTCGTTGTATCAAGGCATGGAGGAAAAATGTTTCATATCAACTGTAAAATGCTTTGACAGAATGATCATTGTCGGTTTTGTTAGTTTTACTGAGTTTTGAAAGAAGATTTATATCGACAGTCTGGGAAGCGTTTTGACAGAAGACCGTAAGTGTGATACCGAGATGCTTAGATGTATTGGGATGGCCAAGGAGGCATTCCAAAAGCTGAGTAGCAGGATTTCTTTGGTAACAAAGAAAAGAATCCTGAACTGTTACGTGACATCTGTCCTTCTTTACGGCAGCGAATGTTGGACGATTTCCTCAAATATGAAGAAGAGACTCTGTTGTAGAGTAGTTTTCACAGTGGAGGCTTGTATTTCACTAAGTCCGTCCTAAAAGAGTCCGACGTACAAAACGTTAGGAACTTGAAATAAGAGTTAATAACGCAGCAATCTAGTTGTGATGGTTGATACTTCAATGTCCGACATCGACTGACTCACTCAACACCACTGAGCCCAACTGGCCACTGCTACTACTACTTATTATCTGTTGGAGAGTCTATTACAATAGAATAGGTATTATGGTATAACAGACTCGAGGCGACAGAGATGTGGTTCTACAGAAGGATGCTAAGGATATGGACCGAGCGTGTGAGCAACGATGAGGTCTTAGAAAGGATACAAACAAGGAGAAGGATTATACTCAACATCAGTAAGAGGCAGCTGAAGTTCCTGGGACATAATGAGGAAGGAGGGCCTGGAGAATCTGATACTCACTGGTCGAATATCGGGAAAGTGAGACAAGGAGAAACAACGCATGACATGTCTAGTGGGATTAAGCAAATGGATGACAGAACGTAGTCTCGGGGAGGAAGCAAAGGGAAGGAACTTGTTGAGAGCTGCAAGTGATAGAGGGAGGTGGAGAGCCATGATCGCCTACGTCCTGAAAGGACATGGCACATAAAAAGAAAGAAATCCTGAACTCTGACTATTTCTGTAATATACTTCAGTCCAACGTTTGAAAAATAGGGTTGTGTTTTAGCTTGACAATGAGAAACAAAAAAAAAACAACTTTGCAAAAAGTAAAAACAAACAACAGTTTCTGAAAACAAAAAAAAAACAACGGATAAAATTACTCCATTGGTCAAGTATGTCTCCAAATTTACATTTAATAGGAGTAGATAAGTTCGATTCCCACTCCTCCCGGGTTTTTTAACAGAAATAGGAATCTGTCTCTTGTTCCCTGTTTAGGATTAAGTTTCACTTTCTTCTAAAGTCTTTTCATTCTCTTTCACTTCCAATAACTCCTTGCGTCTTAGTGGCATTATCGCCTTGCTTGTGGTGTACTGATTAAAAAAATAATTGGACAATTATTCGAACAACGACCATCAAACAAGACAGAGTTTAAATGTGTAGTGTCGGAATAAAATAAAAACATTATGCAAATCCAGTGAAAGCAATGTTCCCAAGCCTACAAGCAATAATAGAAAATAAAGGCGGTCACACCAAATATTGTTGATGAAGAAATCTTTTTAATAAGGATGTAATCATTTTTGGATGTCAATAGATTAGAATTTTTAGTGTAAGAATTTTAATGCTGTAGAGTTTTATAATAATCATTACCTGAAAATGTTAGTGTAGCATTCTAACAAAAACAATAAAATCTTGTGATTGGTATAAATAAAATAAGGTGATATAAAAACCGATAAACAGTTATGGGTGATACAATAAATGCATCGCTGGTACTTTTACTATAGAAATGCATAGAAATCAGAAACATATTGCTAGTGGTCAGGAATCAACTTAAGCATTATTGACAGAATAGTTCTACTATGGTTTGAGCGTAGAAATATATTGAAATAAAAGAAATTGCCATTGAAATCACTGTAAGTGTTACTATTAGAACATGCTATTATGTGAATTATTAACTTTTTACTGTCGGTGCAAAATTATTTCTTATAAAATACATTAATAATTTTAATATAAATAGCCTTTTTAAATTATTGAAAGATTGCCATTGATCAAGAATAAACGAACACTGAAAAGCGATATCACTTAAGAAATATACTGCAAATTATTTCGATATTGATATTTTATTATAGAAATGGCCAATTCCCGTTTAAACACAGTTCCTCGTACGATCAGCAAAGTTAACCAACGTCGAGCCTGGTCAGTACCGAGATGGGTGACCGCTTGGGAACACCAGGTGCCTTAAGCTTGGGCGTGTAATGGATAGTGGCTCGGAATTGGAAGCTAACACTCTGATTTCCAATTTTCAGTTGGGTTCGTTCTATTAACCTACGAGCAAATACACTTGGGAAAGGCATGAACCCATCTCATGTTGCAGGACATTAGAACTTATATCAATAAATACTTATTATCTGTAAAAAAAATTCTTACAATCTAAAAATATTTTTGGCTTTAAATAAACTTCAAAAGGTTGATAAGCCGTAAAATAATAAATCAATCAGTCAATATTAAGCAGAAAAATATCATTTGGTGCTGAAGAATTGACTCTAGCGTTACTTGTTGAAAGAAGATTTTCAAAGCTTTTATTTAATCAGAATATCTCGTCCTGGGTTTGACTATAAAGTACATCAGCCAGCAATGCCTCTGATCAGGATATTCGAGGTTTTGTGGAGCGTGGAAACCACCCTGACCCTGCTTGGTAGCAACTGTTAAAGTCCCAGCTGTGGGCAAATAGTGAACTTCCAAACAAAGAAAAAAACACCATGAAAGTATAAAAATATATCTTTTAGTAAAAATACCAGCAATCCGTTTAAAAAAAAATAAAAAAATAAATAAATTACTAACATTATGTTTTCTGTAGTGAAATTACCACCAATACATGTTTATAAAAGATTACCAACAAATATATTATAGAAATTACTCGCAATAATTTTTTTATAATAAAATTACTCGCAATAATTTTTTATAGTAAAATTACTCGCTAGAATTTTTATAGTAAAATTACTCACAATATTTTTTTGTTGTAAAATTACGCGCAATAATTTTTTATAGTAAAATTGCTCGCAATAATTTTTTATAGTAAGATTGCTCGCAGTAACTTTTTATAGTAAAATTATTCGCAATAATTTTTTTACTAAAATTGCCCACAATAATCTTTTATAGTAAAATTGCTCGCAATAAATTTTTATAGTAAAATTACCCACAATACATTTTTAAAGCAAAATGACCAGCACTAGATTTTATAGTAAAATTACCAACAGTACATTGTTAGAATTGCTAACAATATATTTTATAATAAAATGACTAACAATACACTTTCATAGCAAAATGACAATCAGTGTATTGTATAGTAAAATTATAGTAAAATTGAAGACATGGCATACACTGTAATTTTTTTTAAAATTTGCTATGATTAACCTCATTTCTTCTGAAGGGGAAACAGGTTTTCCTTCTAGTTTGTTTTTGTAGAATTATTTGGTAAATCAATACAGTTATAATTTAATAATAACATAATATCATTCTCTTGAATTTTCATATTTAGATTTCGGCATTAAATAACCCATACAGATTGGTATGTCTCAAAATAAAATTAAAAAAAAAATAAAATTATCAATTGCTTTCCAGTTTACTATCAGATATAACTACATGTAGCTAATTCAGCTGGGAATTGATAGAATCTTGCCTCCAATTTAGTACTGCGGTTAAATGCATACATATCGTATACAGCGCCCACTGTGGAGGAGAAGTAGGTAAATAATAAGTAATGCACATGTCTAGTCTTAATTTTGATCCGTCTACAGGAAAGTAAACTTCCGAAATAATAAGAATCCTGTAATCTGTGAATCCGTATATGTACTTGAATTCGCAGAAGCAACATGAAATAGAATTTTTAAAATCTTAAAAACATATCGGGACCTTAGTCGGGGGCTTAGAAAGACGTAAAAGGTCAAACTTCATACTACCCACATTTGAATTTGTTACATGAGGATCGATATGCGTACGATATGTACTAAGTTTCAAGAAGTTACAAGTTAACCCACGGAGAAAGTTTGACCAAGAATTTTGTTGGAAATACATTCTTCTAAAGAGAAACCCAACGTTGTTTTTACAGAGAATGTAGTTATAGGCAATGATAAGATAGTGACCATATATATATATATATATAAATATATATATATATATATATATTTAAAAAAAATCATCTTATATTTATCATTATATATCATATATATATATATATATATATATATATATATATATATATATAGATAGATAGATAGATAGATAGATAGATATAAAATGGCGAACTGCCTTCACAAACAAAATTTTAAAGGTGCATTAACCTACAAATCATTCGATGAATGTTATGATCCTTTTTTTTGAAAATTATAAGCTGTATAAGATCTTTCTTTAATACACAGTACTTTCAACTGTACATACAGTCATCTTCAGGCATGGAAATTATTTTCTTTTTGGTAAAATTCAGGTAGCATCCGAGACGAAAAAATTAAATGCGAAGCGAAATGTTTTTTTTTTAAATGTTTTATTGTTAATGGATACAAACTTTTGGAGCGTGCAGTCGCAACGCTAAGGTTGAATTTTTTTTTTTTAAATTTAAGAGAGTGCATTTTTTACTAATATGGCAATTTGAGATTTTGTTTTTATAAGTTAATGTATACTTTTATATATAAGTTAAAGTTTTTTATGTGCATGACAATATATATATATATATATACGTATGTATATAGTAATAATCATACAAGTCTGATTCGCTGTATCACTGCACATCAGTGTGCCTAGACATCCAATTGCTTCAAGCTGGAATCGAAACTCGAACGATTTGGCATCAATCAGAGATTCAACTTCTCAGCTATCGAGGAAGAGAAATTTGAAACGTATTATATATTTGATGTATACAAACGTCAGTAGCCAAGAGCGCTCAATTCATGAAAAAAGTTAGCATGTTTTAGTGTAAGGAACACGTCCTCAAAGTTTATAAACGTATTAATAAAATAGTCCTCGATGTATAATGACAGAGCAATAAATTATATTAATAATTAATATACATATATATATATATATATATATATATATATATATTTCCTTCATCAGTAGCACAATTCGAAATTGTCCTACGGGTGAAGAATATCTATATAGGTTTCTCGAGACGAGTATAGTTACCTATATATATATATATATATATATATATATATATATATATATATATATATATATATATATATATATATATATATACCAGAACTAAGAAAAGAAAGCCAGTAAAACGCAGGTTTTTACTTAGTGTCTAAGAATATATGAAAAAGAAAAACATAATAAAAATGTACAATTAAAGAACAGAAATTGAGACAGAAGATAACGATTGACATTGTATTTAACTTCTTGAAGATCAAACTTAGGTCTAAAGCAAGAAGCCAGAAGAGAGTTCCACAAGCGAGAAGTGCGAGTAAAGAAACTGTTAGCAGAGAACTTACATGTAGCTAATTCAGCTGGGAATTGATAAAATCTTGCCTCCAATCTAGTACTGCGGTTAAATGCATACATTCTACGTAACATAGGGAAGAGTTCATCCAAACAATTAACACGAACTTAATACTAAACGTCCAGGGAAACTACATTACAGCGGCGGGAAAGTAAATGAAACCAAGATGACAGGTCAGGATCTTTAATATTTCTGATTATTCTTTGGATTTTATCAAGAATCGGTAAATGTACAGCAGGAGCACTGAACTATATGTGGCAGTAATATTCTAAGCAGAGAGGAATGGTAGACTTATAAATATGAAAGATAGATTCTTGAGAGTAAAACTGTCTAGCACGACACGGTGAAACAACTTTCTTAGCAGAAGGTCTAACATTGGATTCAGTATAATATTTCTACTTAATGTCAACTGAGAATGTTAGCCTGAGAAGGCACAATGAGTCATTCTCCTGTAGGTTAGTGTCAGCCCTGCCAATAAGAGAGAAGACGGGATCTTTCAAGTGATTAATAGTGAGAAGTTTCATTTTATTCCCTTGCCCCGGAAACGCACTGTAGTTCATTTTTTAGATCAGCTGTCAGCTTGATTTTATTGAACTGATCAGAATCGAGGCTGGTAGAAATCAGCATAGATATCAAGTTGAGAAGTGATGCCATCGGGAAAGTCATTGATTAGAATTAAGAACAAATGTATCTAAGGATAGACCCTTGTGGGCACCTGTATTAGTATAAAAAAGATCCGAGCAAAACTTAGTTGGTTTTGTCTTTGTTTGGTTTGTTTTACGGTACATCAATGGTTATTTAATACCGACAAGATATTTTATTGCAGGTAATATTTAAAAAAATATATATATATATTGCTGCCAATAATTAAAAAAAAATGTATTGCTGGTATTAAGACCTATTTTTACACTTTAATAGTGTTTTGACTAGAGTTTCGGGGTTAACTATTTGCCCATAGCTGGGACCCAAACAGGTGCTACCACCCCGGATCAGGGTGGACTTGGGAAGATCAGCAATTAAGAGGTGGTTCCACGTTCCTCAAAAACCTCCTGATCAGAGGGTTTGCTGTTGGATGTAATTTATCGTCATACCCAGGACGCGTATGTAGTTTATCGTCATACCCAGAACGCGGATGTAGTTTATCGTCTTACTCAGAACGCAGATGTAGTTTATTGTCACACCCAGAACACGGGTGTATTTTATCGTCTTACCCAGGATGCGGATGTATTTTATCGTCATACCCAGAACGCTGATGTTGTTTATCGTCTTACCCAGAATGCAGATGTAGTTAATCATCATGTCCAGGACGCGGATGTAGTTTATCATCTTACCCAGGACACGGATATCGTTTATCGTCATACCCAGAACGCGGATGTAGTTTATCGTCTTACTCAGAACGCAGATGTAGTTTATTGTCACACCCAGGACACGGGTGTATTTTATCGTCTTACCCAGAACTCAGATGTTGTTTATCGTCATACCCAGGACGCGGATATATTTTATCCTCTTACCCACGACACGGATGTAGTTTATCGTCTTACCCAGGATGCGGATGTATTTTATCGTCATACCCAGAACGCTGATGTAGTTTATTGTCTTACCCAGAATGCAGATGTAGTTTATAGTCATGTCCAGGACGCGGATGTAGTTTATCATCTTACCCAGGACACGGATATCGTTTATCGTCATACCCAGAACGCGGATGTAGTTTATCGTCTTAATCAGAACGCAGATGTAGTTT